ATATCTTTGAAGCACATGAGGCTCTTGTTTTGGGCTCCCAACCCACCTGCAATAACTTGATTTTTGATGGACTCACAGCTCACCCCATCACTAATCCTCTCCTTGATGGTCCATTGTTCCATCTCCAAACCAGGGTCAAGGTTGTCCACACATGGACTACACCCCAAGTCCAATGTTTCAACTTTGCTCCTGGTCAGTGGGTTGCTGTCCAGGCTGATGCTGATGAAGACACTCAGGACTTTTGGATATGCAAGATCATCAGTGTTCTCCATAAGAGGCTCCATGTCCACTGGTGGAACTTCACTAATGGATGCTGGACTGACCATGGCTCAGAAAGCACTGTTCCAATGGGGTCTGTTTTAGCTTGTGGCTTTGACTTTAACACCAACACTGGAGTTCCCCCACCCACCCTTCAAGAAATATTTAGACTCCTGTAAATAAAACTTCTCTTCTCTGTGTACATTCAAATTCCACAGTGTTTATATCTCATGTACACCTGTTTTTAGTTTCATTAAAAAGTACCACTATCACCTTTTTCCAGACACAGTGTTCACAGCAGAAGCACATGGCTCAGCTGCACACCAGACATGACCTGATGACCAAACAAGAAGTGAGTGTTGATCTATTAGCATCACCCACTCACCATGTGCACCTTGTTATTGACAATGTGAAGTGGGGAGGTGGTGCTTATGTTGATGTTGAAGTAGTTGAACCACTTGTCATCAGTGATGTCCTTGAACTTCTTGAGAGACTCAAAGATACCAAGGTTGTTGACAACCACATCCAGTGGGGCCTTGATCTCCTCATCCAGAATGTTGAGAAGGTGGTCCACTCCCTCCTTCAAACTGAAGTTGCACACAGCTGGGTAGAGCATCACTGTTTCACTTAGGCTGGACAGCTCTGCCAACAGTAATCAGATGAATAAATGCATTTATAAATGGGAAAACTCATGGTGGCTGGGTACCTTGGATGGCTTTGGTGACATTGGCTTCTGACCTGCCATTGATGATGATGTGCGCACCCAGCTTCACAAACTTCACCACAAGCACTTTGCCAATGCCCAGTGTGGAGCCTGTTACAAGCACCTGCAACCCCCCCATTCACATTTGTTCACCATTTGTTGAACACAAAAGAAGCCACACCAGCTTTCCTTCAAGCTTGAAGTCCATGTTCCCTTTTGGTGTCGGTGCTTGAAGGCAGCTGCTTGAGTTTTTCCAGTTGTGTTGTTGTTCTGTCTCACTTCATTTCTTTGGCCATAATGGCGCTGCTGAGTGTCAGCGCAAGGCCAAAAAAAAAAAAAAAACAGCTTCCTATCGCCGCCGACTGCTCGGGTGCAGCGTAACCTTGTGCAGCTTGAGTGAACTCTCATGGGAGCCAACCCCCACCTCAACGAGCAGTGAGCCCCTCATCACGCCGAGGCAAGACCCAGGGACAAGTACGATCTCAAACATGGTCCTGGCGGTTTACCGGAAATTTCTCCCAAGTTCTGCCGGCCAACGCGTGGAAAGAAGCAAGGGACAAGACGAAAGAAGGAAGGAGTTCGCAGCGTCTCCACTCGTCTGGCCGATGACCAGACGCGGTCGGGATAGGTGAAGGTGGCGGGGATTGGGCACCGCAAAAGAGTGCCGACGGAGCCTTTTATTCTCGGGCTCGACTCACCTGCATTCAACATTTCTACCAACCATCAAACACCGTCCAGCCGCAACAAAGAGAGAAGCACTCACATCAAGAGAACCAACAAACAACTTAGAATCACACCGCGTGCTACAGACACAACAACAAAACAAAAAGA